AGAATGTTTAGGAATTTAATATTTTATTGCTTTAATATGTTTTCTAGGTAGATTAGAATTAGTCATAGTTAGGATCTATAAATAGGGAGCATCCCTCATTGTTTTGAGGAGGACCAGAGTTGATGAAATAGAAAAGGAACGTTTGTTCAAACCGTGTGTTAGGGTTCGTGAGAATTCGATCATGCAACCGAATTGGTGAGGCTATGACCCAAGCCAGTTCAACGATTTAGAGAGGCTAAGACCAGATCTATTTCGAGAGTGTAGCGAGGCTAATACCCGAGTGAACTCAAGTATCGTGAGAGAGTTAGGCTAATAACCGAGTCGATCACACCTATCGTCGAGAGCAAGGCCGTGGCGAGCCGTGATCGAGACAAGTCGAGGGAACGCAACACCCGATCCGTCATCAGTATGTCACAATTTTACATCGACTCAACTACTTTATATCGAAAAAACTTTTATAATATAAATTATGCACCAATTAGGCGAATGATATGCGACGTATGCATGTCGCACTTTTACATCGAATCAACTACTTTACATCAACTCAACTACTATTTTACCCCATGCTACGTTCTGTAACAAGTTTCAGTGACCATAACCGAGCCAGAAGTTCTAGATTGTCCGGTATGCTTTGAACCATTAAGCCCTCCGGTATATGAGGTACTACTTAAACCCCGGTACTACGTTCACTGTTTCCTCATATGGCAGTCTGCCTCTCGAACCAATTGGGCAGAGGAGTCTGTTGTAGAGGAGGTACGGGATCTTCTCGCCATTGTTTGTTAGAAGGGATAGGTCTGTGAGTCGAACGAAATTAATCGCCATCCCTTGTTTGACTTTGAATCTCCGTTTTCACATCTGTCTTTGCCAGTGAATTTTGTACACTAGTTGAAGAAAATGGAAAACAAGATTTATATATCAATGGTCTGACTTCCGATAAAAAAAAGTAGTATACCCCGGAAAAACAAGAACCTTTGTCTTTGAAGGTGTGCTCCCTCGCCGTCGTAGGCGCCTCAATCTAGTAAACCCCGGAAGACCAAGCAATTCGCTGGAGATTCCACATCTTCCCAAACACATGGTCTCCAACAAATTTTTCTCAGTTTCCAATGTTTTTAGCTTTCAATGAGAGGTGACCATGTGCCTGGGCAGACGTGGGATCTCCAGGGCGAGTGCTTGGACTTCCGAGGTATACTAGATTGAGGAGGCTACGACAGTAAAAGAGATCACGCCCTCAAAGACAACAGGAGGATCAGGACCCATCTCTCAATTCTTCAACCTTCGATTTTCCTCAATATGTCGTC